GCTTGCCAGGGAAGCGCTTATTCCACTGAGGCATCTCCCCGGCCCCTAAGACCCTTAATATTTCACTTTTTAAAGATATTTAAGACTAACGATTGCCAAACATTACACATGTCAAGGATACTTGATGTTTAAGATAAATGTGTGTTTATCTCTTTTTCGCATGAGATTCTTTCTAGTCTGTCTTTGCAGATGTGCATTTATGGTTTCTGTAGAGCATGTAAATGTAGAGTGCTTGGACCGAGTGCTCAAGTCGATCAATAGGTAGAAGGAAGTTGCTCTGATTCCCTCAGGTCAGCAGGCTTGAGAATGTAACTTCCAGAGGACGTGTTTGTCACATGTAGAGAGCTAAAGGCTGTAGGTAGCCCAGCTGCCTGGACTAGTAGTGCTGGACTTCATGGAATAGAAGTTAAGTGAATGAGATTAGGAGAAAAAAAAATTGTTTCAGGCTGGTCTTAAGTCATTTTATCTTAAATTGTCCGGAGAGTCTAACTGGCTTCCAACTGGCCCTTGGATGTGTAGCGATACCTTGTAGGGTGTGTGCACCATTCCCCCCTAGAGCACCAGGAGAAGGTGCGTTCCATAAGAGGCCCCCATGCTTGCTGAGGAGAACGTAGGGCCCTTAGGGAGTTTATGTGATTTGTGTGAGATTCTCTGGTTTTCAAACCGAGTGGAGACTGAGACTCGGTGTTGTGCTCTGCCCGCAGGGCTGGCATACGTGAGCCAGGCTTGCCGCTGACCGACCTCTTACTCATTAGCTGCTATTCTTTTTAGAGTGTCTTTCTGCTATTTCCAGGGCCCACTTTGTCTTCACAAAATCAACCGGCAATATTTGGGAGTTTATCAACTTTTTTTGTTTGTTTAAGGGCCATTGTTTGTTTCCCAGCCAGTACTTTCAAACATCACGTGCACAAAAAGCTTTTCTGCTGAAGCAGCGTGACCCAAGAGGGCCACACACAGGTGCGCACTCTGGAAGAGCGGCAGAGAGAGTCTTTGGACATAAACATCGCTGTTCACCGCAAAGGACAGGGACAGCTTATTTTCAGTTATGGCGACTAATGAAAGAAAATTGACGTCCAAAGTGATAAGTGATGTTTAGAATCAGCATGTTTGGGTTCATGGTCGTTTGTTGGCTGAATAAAATTTCATGCCTGTCAGTGCCAACAGTTAATCTCTTTAGAGACTATTTTCCCCCGTTGCACTAGACATTGGGATCCCTAAGGCCATGTTGAGCCTACAAATGATGCTTTTTTATTTTTTATTTTTAAATTTTTTATCAGCATGTGTTTTTGGTATGTAATGTTTACATTCTTTGTAAGGAGTTGATCATGTACTCAGCACATCTTGACCCCTGCTTTCATCCTCTCCCTCCTTTCTCCATCTCCCGAGCCCCTTACCGTTTCAGAAGGATCTGTGGCCCTACTTCCTATTATCTATCTTCTAAAAATTATTTTATTGGGCTGACGAGATAGCTCAGAGGACTGAGTGCCTGCTTAGGCAAGCGCAGGGACTGGGGTTCGATCCCTGGCACCTCATGCTGCACTGGCCCTGCTCCCAGGCACGCTGAGCTGGCCACTGAATCCGCGTGTGGTGGTGCACGCCTGTAATCCCAGCACTGGGGAGGCTGCAAACGGGAGGATCAATCACTACAAGTCCGAGCTGTGTAGTGAGACCCTGTGCCAAAAACATAAATTAAAAAAAATTGTTTTGTTAATATGTTTGCAGGATATAATGATTGCACTTACCATGGGGAGTTTGGATACTTTTTTTTTTTTTTGGTGGTACTGGGGATTAAAATCAGGACTTGTGCTTGTGTTCTGCTGAGCTATATCCTTGGCCCTTATCATGGGGAGTTTGTACATGTGCACACACATCACACATATCCTAACTTTCTTTGTCTCCCTCCTCTCCTATGCCCTCTAGCTTCCTGCAATTCTTTTTCCCCTTCCCATTTGCAAAAGCTCTATTTCCATTGTTTTCTTCAGTTTTCTTTTTAAAAATCCCTTTTCCTTTTTTCTTTCCCCCTCCCCTCTTATTTTTCTCAATTGAAAAAAGATCTCCCCACTTCTTATGTATCTTTTATTTTGCTCTTCACTTGCATTTTGGGTGTCTCAAACAAGAGAAACAATGTTATATTTAACTTGCATGTTTGATTTAGTTCATTTCACATTATTGTCTCAAGATTCATCTATTTACCTG